TTTTTTTTTTTTTATGCTTATTTTATATCGCTTCGAGTCTGATGAGACTATATGGCGATTGATCAAGACTTTAAAAATGGTTAGATCTCACCATTCTACCCGGCCAGGAATCGAACCTGGAACCTATCCGTTGTGAGGCAACGGCCTTAACCACTACGCCAGGCCACCGGGCGAAACCCCTCGTTAAGGCGATTACCCAATTTGATTTGGCATACCCGTGATAAAAGATTGTCTAATGCTCAATGTAAGAAGGAACGATATTTGAGTTCTGTTAGAAGCAATAATATATACCGTTTTATTTTTATTCCACTGAGACTCGTCGGGATTGGCTGCAGCCAAAATACTTGTACGAGCATTCAACTGACAGATAATACCGGCTTTCGCAATACTAAGCGTCTGTTGCTCCATGACTTCGTGTAACACAGAACGAGTGCTGTCATTCATTTTATCGAATTCATCAATGCAGCAAATACCATTATCGGCAAGAACCAACGCTCCAGTTTGAAGTACAAGCTGGCGGGTTTCCGGATCTTTTGTAACATAAGCAGTTAAACCTACCGCACTAGATCCTGGAAATACAAATTCGACTTATGAAAAAAGCATCCCTGAAAATTTATATTTTTTCATTATTGAAATAAAAACCTTTTTATGATTAAGGATAATCGGACGAGCCCGGAGGGTTAGAAAAAAAGCAGTCATTTTTTTAACGTATTCTTTAAATGATGGAAACGACGTATGCAAAGTTTTAGACTGCTGGGGAGCATGGTTAATTTATTATGAATTTTTGAAAACGTGGTCATTTAACCCGTGATCTTATGGAAATCACAAAAAAAAACTGCAAAACCGAAGGAAAAAATGCAGCCAAAGTCATGAAACTTTAGACACATTTAGAAAAAGAGTCGCTTAGGAGCATTGTTTATTAATAGTAGCGAAAAAAGTACTGAAAAATGAAATTTCTGCGCACGCAGCACAAACGAGCAGCAACGTCCCAAGTACCGATCAAGTGGGGGAAGCGCGGTCAATTTAAACGTCTCTTGAGAGAGCGATGAAGCTTTGTAATCGGAGCTCCCTCGAGCTAGTGGTACCAGTTCCTGGTGACAAAAAAGAACTACCGACGATGTTGGCACTTTTTCGCATGGATTAATTTTTTTTCATTTATTAAAAAAAAACAATCTGAAAACCATTCAATGTGTGGAACAGATACAAATAAATTTGATTAGCTCCAAAAATAATTTTTAACCGGAGATACTTCCTAATATTGCCTGAATTTTGAATCCGAATGGGAAAAATTTTTTTATTCAGCGATTGGTTTTCTGCAGGAAAACAAAAGGAACCCCTCCGCTCACCTCCTACATTTCCTCTTCGCCCGATTATCCTTAAGAGTTTCATATACGTAGTTGAAGAGTTCGTTGAAGATTACAACAGAAAACTTACCTTTCCCACTGCTATACTGTGATCGTGGAACTAAATTGAAAACAAACTGCAGCAACTGCGATTTACTGGTACCAGGATCTCCACAGAGTAAAATATTTAGCTCTGAACGGAAATGAGTTCTCCCTGATGTCACATGTGTTTTCTTCGTGCCACCGAACAACTGAAGCAGTATTCCCTTTTTTATATCCTCATTTTCGTAGATACTTGGTGCAATGCAACGAGCAAGGCGTTCGTATACATCTTCTTTTAACGATAGTTCTTTCAAGAGTTTCAACCTCTCTTCAGGGAAGATGTGATCTTTACCTTCTTCCTGCTCGTACAACCTAAAATAAACGGAATTTTTGTAGTTGAACTAAAATTTCTTTTGCTGTCTGAACCTACTAGCCGGTACAGAAGTATACCCACACTTGGCGTTAAATATGAATAATTTCACAACAAAAATCGCATTACTAAACCCCAGAAATGGGATTCACATCTCATTGTTTATAACTATTTATGGCACTATTTATTTGTAAAAAAAAAGTTAAATAAGATAAGAAAAATAATTTTTTATTGAAAATTTATTGCAAATTAGGGTATTCTTCAAGCCGCTCAGGGAGGCAAAACTCGACAGAGCAAGTACATTATTAAAAACGCCAAATCTCCGCCAAAAATGGTTCTTTTTTTTTAAATTAAGAAATACTCCATTCATTGTCTTTCTATGGAACTTTTTTGTTTTAATTTTTTTCGCCTCCGAGACTTTTTGGTTATTAATTTTGCATCGGAAGCCCGAATGGGTGAGCCACTCGAAGTACTAGAGGAGATTTCAGCATCTGTTACGTATAAATTATCATATTTTCTCCAAAAATCTACAGATTTCAAAAAATCGAAAATGGTTGTATTCTTAAGATCCCAAAGAACATTTTTTACTCGAAACTTTTTTAATATGAATGAAAATGGCGACAATAAACGCATTTAAACAATTAAATTGTTAATAACTATTGAATGCCTAACTTATTCGCAAAAAAATACATATTCGGTTTCAGTACATCGAAATACATAAGATACGCAAATTTCAAAACTTTACAACGATTTTATACCGTTTGGCCTCAGCGCATGGACTATCAAAGTAGTATGAATATACCTCAGTTAAGGCGTTGATTGTAACGGAGAACAATACATTTAGAATGCTCGAAAAAAATGATTATGCATCACTGACAATTTTATTGATACCTGTCTGAAGAGTGCATGTTTCGCGACGATTTAGTGTGCGTAAAGCAGTTGTTTTCCGCACTCGTTCACAAAAACCACTTTACTCCCACTACCGTTCCCAACAGTAGAGCCGGCAGGTATCACAAAAAATATGATATGATACACGTCCGTGCGAACAAATGGAACTCCATGCACATCCTATTTTGATATGTACATCGTTTACTACAATTCTGCAAAACGGTCTGAGGTGGTTACCATACACGCTGTGACAGGTCCCGTATCCCGAGTCGAAATATGCGACTTTAAATGTAGCGCATATATATTATGTACATTTAAATTACGTAATATATATGCGCTGAATGTCATATTTATTTCATCTTAAATTCAATTAATCATCTACGTATAATTTCTCTGTACATACGTGTGTGCACAGAGAGAAGAATTTTGAAAACATTGAAATATTTCCAAGAAAATTGAAATTTAAACAGAAAAAAATCCCACGGCGCCCAGTCGGAATTCGAACTCAGTTGTTACAGTTGCGTGGCAGATTCTCCCCACTGAGCTACCGTGAACCACGGAAATTCTACCTCACTACATTCGACTCACTACGTTCCTTAAATTAGTATAATTTTATTGAATTTATGACACTGAGAGAGAAAGTTTACATTTTTAGATATTTTTTTCCTTATCTTCTTACTCATTCAGTTTTGCCTGATGAGCCCATTTCAAAAATATTTTCGAAAAATGGTAAACCTTATGTCATCATTTTTAGAAAACATACATTGGGACCCTTTCGAAAGTTTCCTACCAATGAAATTAGTATAAATGAAAATAGGAGAAAAAAAATACGTGGAGAGTAGCAGTCATATGTAATCTGTCAAATGGCGCGCTGCTTGTGTCTATTCACATTGTTGCTACTACTTTGCAACAATGTAAACAGAAAATATACAACAAATTACACAGGTTGCCGTCAGCTAGGGAAATTGTGTTGCATATCTGTAATATTTCCTTAGAATTAGTTTCCCAAGTCTTCTACTTTTTCCTAAGCATCCACCAAATATTTCCATTCCCAACTACTTTATTACATTTTATAATTTTAATCCTGCGAACTCCGAAAACCCAACAAATTTTTCATTTTCCTTTTCACTAAAAATCCTTCAGACGCACCTAATTGCTATCTCGGTACTTTCCCGTACTTCGGGGTAGGCTCCCGAGACTTTCCCAATACCCAGGTAAGAATTGACGATAGAAACAGGGCTCATCAAGCCCTGGACCAAGGCTCAGAAATGCTCAATCAGGGTTGGGGCTCGGCCTTGAATCAATCCTCCTTCAGCCCTAAAATGATAACCTCGTTTCAGGCTTAGTCCGCAAGGCTTGAACGAGGCTCGGTGCCAAGGCTTGATTCAAGCCTTGAATTACCACATTTTAAAGGCTCAATCGAGCTTCGGCTAAATAAACTAGAGTATTGTTTACAGATATTTCGATAAACAATTTCTTATTGCTTCATATCCCTTTTTATGAGTTTAGAGTAACCTATGAAAGAGAGTGCGGTCGGACCGTACATCACTGTTGCTAAGTGTTGTTGGTGATTATCATTGTGGGTTAATTAACAATGGATGGGAAAAAAATTATTATCATCATAAGTTTCTATTAATTATTCGTCCTGGATTATTACGGCGCCCCTGGAAATTGAAATACAATGGAATCAAACATTTAAAAATTTGCTCCTCTGCTGGGGTTCGATCCGGGGTCCTTCTGATCCGTAGACAAGCGCACTATCCACTGGGCTACCTGCGACTTCTTAGGATGATACGTTTTTTCGGGTATAAAAATTCAACTTGTGTTAGTGTTATTTTGTTGATATCCTAATTAAACTTCCTGAACTTGAATAAATGATAGGTCCGATGGATTTATGAGTTCAGAATCGATTGATTAATTAATTATAGATAAGAATAATAATAATTATGTAGCTTCGTGCACAAAGGGATGCTCTAGGCCTGGTCTGGGGGTAGCTTAGATAACTTGGCGGAAAATTATAGCTATGTTTGTAGATGATGATAATGTTTTCACCACCATTAACTAATGAGTATTGATATAAAAATTGAGGAAATTAATTGGAAGTAACTTTAATTTTCGAGACCTTGCTGAGTCCTGAATAAGCCCTGACGTACTGAGCCTGAATACTGAAAGCCTGGACTAAGCCTGAATTTAGCCTTGCCAATGGCCCCTTTAATCATCCTCATTTGAAGCTCAAGTGAACGATGAAACCAAGCCTATCCCAGGCCTGAATAACTGAGCCACGCCAACCCTGGGCTCATACAGGCTTGTTCTCATCGTCAGCCTATGTAATTCTTAGCTCAATTCCGTATGTCTCTAATCCGGCACTTTCCCAATACCTCAATTACACGGACCCCTAATCCGGTATTTTCCCGACACCTTAATTACTCTAACTCCTCACCGAGACATATCTTCCCCTACCTCCGTTAGTCTCACCCTCAAGGTTCATCCCTCACCTCAAACTGACCAATCACCCACCTTGGGCCTCACTCATTGATCTCTATATAACTGGATAGCTTGTCCTTATGGGCCCAGCACGCCAAAAGTGAGGCGATTTGAAGGCTCTACTAAATCCGATACCAGTTCGCATGCGTCATCTAAATTGTTGCTGGTGGGAATGGTAATTTTATCGTGCGTTCATAACCAAAAATGCATTGTGGAGCTGAGTGACGTGTTTTTATTTGTGTTGTGATATTGTTAATTATAACTTACCAAAGAAAATAATTTAAAATTAAGTTGTTGAAACATTGTATCTCATATGAGTTACAACGGTTTATTGTGTTTATTGTAAGAAAGACAAAACACAATGGAAAAATCCATCGTTTCATGAGTATGTAATATCGCATAGTCGATATTCACCCTTGGCGATTGAAGGATTCAATCAAATAACAAATGAAAAAATAGAAAAATAAATAGAATAGAAATAAAACCCCCTCATGGATACCATTTGGACGAGTTTTGTTTTTCATCCATTCATCATTTTTCATTAACATAAAGGTGGTAAAATGTCAAGGGCATTTCTGGATCCTGACTATCATATGATCACCCCCCACTTCGTATATCATGCCCACGCATGCGCATTGTTATATATTTTAGTACCACAGCCGGTGATAGGGACGCTGGGTGAGCCTTCAATTTGCTTCAGAAGCGTTTTAGGGAACAAGCCATCCAGTTATATGGAGATCAGTGGTCTCACTCTCTCCATTCTCTCCAACTTTACATATCCACCCTCAGAGGACTTACAAGGAATACTAGGGAGGTGTTCCCCTCCGATTTTGATGAAACTCATATATGTTGAAGAGGACTCAAAACTAAAGGACATGTATTTTTTTTTATCGGCTAATACGCGACTTTAGGGGCGGAAACCATGGTCAGAAGGTGACCACCTTCGGGGGTGATCTTTCAATCCCACCTATAAGGAGGGTGTTTTTACAAATGTGCATCACGGTAATGAATAGCTTGTGAGAAGTTATAAAAATCACAATTGATAGTTCCTCCGGGAGTTGAAATTGGGGGAGTAAACTACCACGTAAAAACTTTGTTTTTCAAAAAAATATATATATGGCTCATAATTTTATAAAACCAATTGCATTTGAAAGAGCATTGAAAAATGTAGAATACCTGTTTTTGGATTTTCCCCGGAACTGAAGTTTTCTGGGGTGAAAAAAATAATTTCTTGGGAATAACACCCATTACAGTGGTGGAGTTATTTATTCATTCCATCGAGGTAATAAATAGCTTGTGAGTGATTATGAAAATCACGATTAATAGTTCGTCTGGGGGTTAAAATTTGGGGGGTGAACTAGCCCTTTGAAATAATATTTTTATATTAAAAAAATATATGGCTCAGGATTTTATGGATATGATTGCATCGGGAAGATCATGAAATAATACAGTATACCTTTTTTCGCATTTATCTCGGCATCGAAATTATGACGTGAGAGCATTTATTTCTTTTATAAGTCACTGATTCCAAATATTAGAATTTTCAATTTTGATTCTAATAGTCCGCACGTGAAGATTATATTCCTTCAGAATCCGGCATTATGATGACAACAATAACAGATTAAAGAAG